ACAAGCTTTACTTATCATAAATTTTCCAACACAGGCAAATGAAGGGACAAAGGCCCCTGTCATGTTTCTCTATCAAATCTGCCTTTAGTTTGCTAGCATTAAGTCTGAAGTTTGCTCGGTACTTCAATTTATGGTAAAATGCTTCTTCTTTACCAGACTTTCTCTGTTAATCACACATTCCTATACTACTATATTTCGAATGTTTTGCAATATATATAACTTTCTGTACACGTGCTATTTTCTAAAAGTTGTCATACCCCATGTTCATACCAATAAACCAAAAAAAAAAAAAAAAACTTTTATCCACACCAATGCAATCTCGATTGTGAGCTCCGCACTTTTCAACAAAAGAAATCGAAAATGTGATTATCAATGTGAGAAATGTAGTTTATAAATGCAATTTTCCATGTAATCAGACATGCTTGAAAACTCCCTTCCTGACCTAAGGATTACTAACTAATTACTTTGATCTGAGTAGGAAAAAATATATGGCCCTTCTTTTAGACAAGCAACAACATAAGCTACAACTTAATCAGATCTTGTACAGTGAAAAGAGAATTTAGAAGGAAAACAGAAGAGGGAAAAAGCAAAACCTCGTGTATTTCACGATAATGAACAAGGACAATATGCTCCAGACTCCTGAAATAAATAAGCATCATTACCGAATCAGATTCAGCAGTATCATGCATACATCACAGATTGGAAATGAGGTTTAAGAGTTCAGCTAACTATAGTTACACATACTTATCAAGCAACCAATAACATCTGCGGACAAAGTGTGGGTTTTCTTCACCATGTGCGTAGTATACATGGATCCTTTCTTCATTACCAACCTGATTGACGGGGAAAAAAATGAATGACCAGAAGGAGTGTCAAAAACCAGATACTGCGACATCAAATTCACGTGAACAAACATATACACCCTAAGAACATGAGAATTCTCACTTTTAAGTGCTCGTGAGCTTCTTTAACAGTTTTCCCATCCTTTTTCTTTTTCCAATTGTGGCCATCTTTACGAAAGTTCCTAAGCTTCTTCCTGTCAAATAATACAATAGTACCACCTGGTGTGCAGAGAAAAAGAACAGAACATCATAATCCGAAAGAAAAAAATACTTCTCAGATTTATATTAATCATAATATATGAAAAGGCTGTGAATGAATTATGTCACATGTCATTTGTAGTATACTGGTTCACTCATAATGTACATCACAACAAGATTCGCAAATCTCTAATCTTACAAGTTTACCCTTTTCTCTATTTGTTAAGTACTGCTTAGATAAGAATTCACAGATTTGAAAGTTTATAGTTTTGTTAAAAAGATCATCTGAAGCAAGAATGCCATGCTTTAAGCTTTTATATTGGCATGGAAGATGCGCTGTAGAAACTGAAAAGCAGAAATGGATGAGATAAGAAACAGTCTGCGTAATTTTTTTTTGAAAAAACAAACACTGCATCTCTTTTCTTCATTATGACTCTTTAAAACTCAAGGACACGAGTGCAAGCTTGTAGAACAGATCTTGTTCAAGGTCGTGGAATAACTGCACATCAACTTTACTAGCATCAAGTTGTTGCCAATAGCAATAGATAATTACTTCTCGGCAAAGTCACTGGCTTGACATGGATGGTAAAATGTTTGTAATTGCAGAGTATGGCATGAATCTCATTGGGTCGAAGCCATCTGCGTCTTGCTTCCTCCATAATGATTCCAACATCCAACTCTGGGCCGCATAATAGACTATTTCAGTACATAAGTCGACAAAGATTATTCACAATATGCATTAATCATCGCTAAATATCTGGTCGCCAAAATAAGATTCGCAAGGGGCCAACAAATAGCAAAAGAAGGGCACCGTGAAAACACAAATTATCAGCTTTCTTCCTTCCCCATAATAAAGCGTGAGTGTTTTATACTAAACTACCTTATTGAATCAAAAGCTAAGACTACTTATTCAAATGGATGACGTCAAATATACAAAGATTCCAATATTTCTTCCCGTCGTTACATTCCTTTTTAACATTGCTTAACCAAAACTAAAATCGTATGATATGTAATATGATTTACCAAACGTTAGGATCAAAACAAGTAAAATGATAAATTTTCCAGCTTTGTGTTATGCCATTTCAAGCATCGAAATTTCAACTCTGCCATCACCTGAGAGAAAGACAGTAGCGGGAGAGAGAACAAGATGAAACCGTTCAAATACATACATACCCTGCATTGTATGGAATCCATGTATCTCTGAGCCCAAGAGCTGCCCCGTTAAGTTGTTTGCCATCATACAAACCTCCGACAGATTCCGAATTCCCCGTCAGAGCTTAATCAAAAACTGCACAGCTCTATCTGAGAATCTTGTGCCAGAATTAAAGAAACAGAATCGAAAATTATAATAAAGATTGAATAACAATCGACGTACCGAGAATACGTTTAGTGTGGTCAAAAATAAAGATTATGATTAGTGAAACTGAGATTAAACCGCCAGAAGAGTTGAAAGAGCCCTCAGAAAAAGAAGAAAAGAGTGAGGAATTTAGCTGATGGAGGAGAAGGGTTTAGTCGGATTGGAATCAGGAAGAAGAAACAGTAAGAAGGGCCCGTCGTCGGGCTGAACAACACTCTGTTCTGATCCTTTCTCAATTTCCAAAGTCAGGGAAAATATAGACAAACCAAGGAGGCCTCCATTCTCTTTCTAACTGACTTTTCTTGCATTGCGACTGACTGACCAATAATAATGCTCTAAAATAAATTATAATGTTACTTTAATATTTATTTATTATTTATTTATATTGTCCTTTTTTCCCAGTATTTATTATAATTATCAATAATCAATCTTTTTTTTTTTTCGCCAACCATCAATAATCACTGGTCCTCTAATAAGTTACTCCTTCCGTCCTAAATATAGGATCCTTTTATAGGACCGGAAGAGTATTAAAATGCACTTGCAAAACGTATTTGGTCCGAAAAAAGAGTCCTATAGCAAGCCATGTGCTCTGCAAAAGGCCTGGATCCCCTAGAATAATCACCACCTCGTATGTATCGAACTTCGAAATCTCGCATTTTTGCACTGATCTTGAAAATAATTGATACAAGCAGTGCCACGAGGTGACATTTTATAGGAAAACTAATTTAAAAAATCTTATTTAAAAATTTGATTAATTAAAAAACCTGATACACTTTTATAGATAAAAATTACCCGTATTTTACTGAGTTAATACACGGAAAATACTGAACTTGAATTTATATTCTTCTAATTAATAAAAATTTTAAACGGAAACTTTTAACGATTTGTTTTTATTTTATTTGATGCCAGATATATAATATATTTATAACTACTAATTATCCTTAAATTGTGGAAGATCACAAGAATTATTGTAGCTAACAGGAGTCTGAGTGTAATAATTCTTTTCGTTTTAAAGGTCAAGTTGTAGCTAACACTACTTGTTGAATTGAATTAGTACTTTAATGCCTTCAGTTCATGTAGTGTTTTGATCAATTTATAGATTCTTTTGATTTATTCTTAAGATTGTTTAATACTCGTCAATTTATAAAATAAAATCTCTTAAAATGTTTAAAATGCGTACTTTCTTGATCACTAGGACAATGATATATTGATATTACATGGCACCATCATCATCATAATCACTACTACTACATGATAAGAATAATTCAGACATTTCAGACATTTCCTTTTTTTGGTTCAAAGTTAGTCCGTCATATTTCTAACATGTTTATTTTATTTCTTTTGCCAATTGCCACGACACATTTTGGGGCATATGATAATTGTAGATCGTTGAGGTAGAGATAATACGCACTATAAAAAACGTATTACCTATAGTTTTTAATATAAGACCTTATTTGATTTTTATTTTGGTCCTAGATATAAAATCTCAATTCATTTTATCTCTCATGTTTATATTTTTTTCTAAGGTAGTTCTTCTAACAATAGTAGTTTTAGCCAATAATAAAGATATTTTAAGAAAGACAATACATATTTATTACAAATAACTAACTTAACTTATTTCTTTATTCTTCTCAAATTAGTCAACTAGCTCTTATAATTAATATCGGAAGTAGTATAAAACATTAACATCACATGTTAGGTTTATCATAAAAAGATTTTTTTTTTTTCACATATGTATTTATAATTTCTTAGCTTTGCACGGTAGCAGTCCATGAGGTCCCCCCTTCTAATGACAGGCACGGATCGTACCTTTTTTTTTCCCGAAGTAGCAATAGATAGCATCCCATGAATTCAAGGACACCACAAAATTTAGTCTTATTATAAATAATTATTTTTTCATTTTACAAAATAAAACTCCCTTTTATGGTGTAAAATTATTTAAAATAAATTCATCCACACTAACAATATTCACTTCAAATTTGATAGTTAAATACGAGATTTTCACGTGTATTAGCCTATCAATATATATATATATATACATATACACGCATATATACACACACACAGTCTTGTATTTATAAATCTCGCTTCTGATATTGTGAAGCTCCCTAGCATGGAGCTGATGTATTGGGAATTACAATCTTAAACACCGGTGGTAACCCTAACAAATGATTGGGAAACCATGTGCAAAGTAGGTAATCATGTGCCGAAACAAAAAGTACGTTTTATAAATTTATATTTTTTTCCTCCAAAATATTCATATGAAGCATCAGAACCTACTAAAAAGTACTAATAGTTTCAATACACATAAAAAAAAAATAATTTAAAAAAATTAATAGATATTTATTATAAATGATTAACTTAATAAATTTTTTAAAATATTTGTAAATTAATTATTTAACTCTTGTATAAATATCCAAGTGAGGTAATGTATGGGCTAGCTTGAAGCGGAATACTCCCTCCCGTCCTTAATATAAAACTTTGTTTGATTTTTATTTTGATTGTAAATATAAGATTTCAATCCATTTTGTCTCTCATATTTATGTATTTTTTCCAAGATAATCCTTGTAACAATAATAGTTTTAACCAATATACTTGCTTAGTAAGAATATTTTAAAAAAGATAACACCCATTTATTGCAAATAACTAACTTAACTTCTTTTCTTAACCTTCTCAAATTAGTCAACTAGCTCTTATAATTAAGATCAGAGGCAGTACTCTGTAATCAACGGTTTGATATGTGGGATGTGACGGAGGACCCCTAACACAAAAAAAATAAAAATAAAATGTACCTCAGTGAGAATGACCTGCACAAATGGAAAAAAAAAAATATATATATATATATATATACTTGTATATGTATGTATAAAACAAACATACGATGGTGAAAAAAGGAGAAAAAAATGCAAATGTTTAGGAAATAATAATATGAGTAATACAGAGCGGAGACAAAGGAAATAGCATTCACCCCGGACAAAATAAGTGTTAATATCACAAAGATAACAGGTAAATCCATCACTTGATTCCCAGATGTCTAACACACATTAGATGCACCCCCCGTTTCATAATATAAGATGTGGGTTAGAAGAAAATTATAGTCTGAAATACTCTTCCGTCCTTAATATAAAATCCATTTAACTAATTTGATTAAATTAAGAAAGTTAGGTAAGTTAGTTAATTATAAGAAAAGTGACACATTTTTCCTAAAACACCATAATCATCCTTCTTAATACCTCATCTCCCTTTTCTACTTGATTATAGTTGAGGAAATATCTATAGAAGTAATTTAGAGAAAATTGATAAATATGAGAGATGGGTCTTATATTTAAGACCAAAACTAACTTAAAAATTAGGTCTTATATTAAGGACCGGATGAGTATAATATAAGACCTTATTAGAACAATTAATATAATTTTTTCATTTTCACCCTTATTAAATATAGGAGAGAGATGATAAATGGTAAAAATGTAACATTAAAGATAACTTTATCATTTTTTAGCGGTAAAATAGGAGAACTTTATTATCTCGAGATATATGTAATACTTAAACTTTTATTTATTGGTGTGCCTGAAAAGTTAACCAATTTCTTATATTATACTCTTCTGGTCTTATTTATAAATCACTTCCAGCATATTTCATATAGATCAAGAAAAACTTTAAACTTCATTAACCTTCATTTGAAATTTAACACCTTTTCAATTTTATTCCTATTAATATACACTATAACTTATGTAAATAAAGTCAACACAATAATAAATGAAGGGTAAAATTTTATGTCTGTATAAAAAATTTATCTCAATACCCTATAAATAAGATAAGAAAATATTTTCTCTCTCTATCCTATAAATAAGACTAAAAGAGTAGACTAAAGGGAGTATGATAGTTTCACATGGAGTTATCATTAAAGGATTAACGATAAATGCTACTGGAATCTCCACACATATATTATTACTCATGTACGTGGAGGTCAAGGTCACCGAATATGAACAGCATGCACAATAATCTTGAAAATATAGATGTTACACCTCCTATATTAAATATAAGTCATTTTCAAATGCTTATTTTCGGAATCATCAAGCAGACAGATACAGATGTGTGTGTGTGTGTGTAGTAATTATGTTTTTAGCATCAAGCCACTGGACATTCAAAGGTAACCTTAATCAGTTTAGACATCTGAGTTGGAAAGGACCAAAAAATCACAGAACTCTTTTAACAGATATTTAACATTAAATCATATGTGATTGTTGTTTATATATTCCTCCGATCTATAATATAAGACATATTTAACTAAGAGTATTCAAACGCTCTTCCCTCGGTTACTTAGTTATGATTAAGGAAGTATTCATAGAAATAATTTTAAAAAAAATTAATAAATATGAAAAATAAATCTTATATTTATAATTAAAATTAATTTAAAAATTAGATTACGAGAACAGGGGTTTGAAACGGAAGGGGTACATTTATCATATGACAAAACGTTTTTTTTTTTTTTCTTTTGGGGAGGGGGGTGTCTTATCATCGGTCCCGTGGTCGCACTAATTAATCTTGATGTTGTCTTATTATCTATTTTCATTACTATTTTTCAAAGACCGATCGAAAAGGTCCGCACCGATGGAACGATAACGTCAACTCAATGAAAAAGAGAAATGAAAATAAAAACATGTTTCAGATTCCTTTTAACTTTTGTTTTGGATTTTAGGAAGAAGTATAATGAGGTCTTAAAAAAAGTTATAAAACAAGTCTCAAAATTATCAGTCTCTACCTAAAAACTTATCATTATTAGCTGTTTAAATTGTTATTAAAAATTTTTAGTAATTATCTTTTTCTTAAATCTTGACTGTAATTCTTTTTTTTTTTTAACTGTTAGTTAAGTGTAACACAACATCACTTTTTTCTAGAAATCTTGTCGTATTTTCGTATCACACATGACTCATCCTTTTAAAAACATCAGGAAAAAAATCTCCCACTAAAAATTTTATTAATGAGGAGAATTTGATAAATTTTTATGTAGAGCATTGGCACTCTAATTTGAATCGTTCTTAGTGATAAAATTCTAGACCTCTCCGTAATTTTCTTTTATTTTTACTAATTATACATTTACGCAATGAATTTTGTGATAATAGATTATTAGTTAGCTAATTGACAAATTTAAGTAAATTAAAAAGATTTATTAAATTAATTATTTATAATAAATAAATATTATCTTTCCTAAAATATTCTTGCTAATCATATATATTAGTGATA